GTAAATTAGGAAAAGCAGATTGCAGGGCACAAATCAAGGAGTATATCGAGATCCAGTCATTCCCCGAACCAGCCCAGGAACAAATTCCACTGTGTGCCATGGCCAAAGGGGAACACAGGTTGTGTAACCTGGGCTAAGTCACCCATCTCCCACACAACAGGTCTGCCCAGGGAGCAAGTTAGGCTATTGCAGTGTTCTGGGGGCCTGGGGTCATTTGGAAGTCCCTCAGACCGGGGTGACCGAGGAAGCAAGCATACATGTGTGAGCTGGGGTTCCCTCCCCTCCCCCCTTTGACCATGGCAGCCCTGCTTTTGTGTGCTATCTTGGAGTTCTGCCTAAAATTTTACTGGAAAAAAGGCACCCATACCCGTGAAAATTCACTATTCTGTTCTCTTGTCTAAAACATGCTGAGAAAGTCTGTTTCTGGTAAAAAGTACCCTAAGATATGCAACAGAAAGCAAATCTATGTGTCATGGCGAGGCTGATCTCCTCCTCAAGTGAGTGGTGCTTGACCGTCTCTGCTAAGCCTTGGTCCCTGTTCCCAGCATGAACTCTCTTCCCTCCACACACTTGATGCATTAACCATGCGCCACAACTGTTCGCCCATCTTAGGAGACCCACTTCCAGGGCAGGCAAAGCCTTTTACTCTTTAATTCTCTAGAAAGTCGTAGCTGTGTAGCAGCTGACCTTTCTGCTCACCAAACCAAGCTGAACCAAAATTGTTGTCATTTTCAGCACTCTGGTGGTATGAGACAGAGTGTCAAAGTGAGACGGAAATATCAAGGAGCAGTGACACGGAAAAAGAATCCGCTCTGTTCTCAGTCTCGCCACTAGCTGGGTAACCTGGAACTTTCCAGACACTCCTGGACTAGGAACCTTTCAAGCTCTAGGGAGGCAGCCGAGCCAATTAATTAGGAGCTCTGACCCTGAAGCCTGATTGTGTAGTTTCAAATCCTGGTTTGGGCGACTTAAGCCCTGCACCTGTTTTCATATCTTTTGTAAAATAGGGATAATAGTAGGACCTCCCTTGCAGGGCTGTTGGGAGGATTAACTGAGTTAAACAGGAGAACCACTGAGAAAGGGGCCTTGCGGGGTTGGCTGTTATCACCACCTATCATGCCCTGAGCCTGCCCCCGCCGGGGCTGTGGCCACAGGATTAGTCAGCTGATAACTGCCCTGCTTTGTAGGTGACAGCTGAGCCTTGAGGGAGAAACTAGTCTCTGCAGCAACTTTCTCTTTACTCTAGTTATTAAAAGAATAGATGGTATTCGAGGTATCTGGGCCTTAGATATACAGATATTTCTCTCATAACAAACTTGAGGGGGAAAGTATCCATTCTTTCCGCAGCCAAAACTGTGCATATGGAGAGATAATACATTTATCAGAAGGCCTTCCAGAATGAGGAAATGGTATAAACAGCAACCCACATTTCCTCCTTTGATGCCCTAATTTTTTCCATTTCTCTCTCCAGACCATGAAATCCTTATTTCAACGGCTTTGGACTAGAACACATGAACCCAAAAGTCCATTAAAATCATTCACCAACAAAAATAATTTTCAAGGGGCACCTGGGTGGCTCAGTCGTTAAGTGTCTCCCTTCGGTTCAGGTCATGATCTCAGGGTCCTGGGACCGAGCCCCACATGGGGCTCCCTGCTCCGCGGAAAGCCTGCTTCTCCCTCTCCCACTCCCCCTGCTTGTGTTCCCTCTCTCACTGTGTCTCTCTCTGTCAAATAAATAAAATCTTAAAAAATAATAATAATAATTTTCAAATCATTGTCAATTTCAACAGTTTTAGAGCAGAACATGCCCTAATTTTTAAAAAAGATACATTCAAATATATGAGAAGCTTGGCAAACTGTTGTGAAATAGTTATTCTTAAATATCCAACAATATTGGATTGAGCCTGGGCGGCTCAGTCAGTTGAGCGTCCAACTCTTGATTTCAACTCAGGTCACGATCTCAAGGCCCTGGGATCAAGCCCCAGGTTAGGCTCCGCACTCAGCAGGGAGTCTGCTTGAGGATTCTCTCCCTCTGCCCTTCCCCCTCCACACACATACACATGCGCCCTCTCTCTCTAAAATAAATAAATAAATCTTTAAAAATTATATATCCAACAATAGGAGAAAGGTAAATAAATCGGGACATATCCCATATACCACATTATGCAGTCATCCTCAAAACTCATTTTTTGAGGAGCAGGTAACAACATGGAAAAATGTTCACAATATAACTTAGGTGATTAAAAGTTATTAAAATTTTTATCTTCAATTAAAACTATATGCTTAAAGTAAAAAAAAAAAAAATGTTTAGAAAAACACAGATGGGGGGCGCCTGGGTGCCTCAGTCATTAAGCGTCTGCCTTCAGCTCAGGTCATGATCCCAGGGTCCTGGGATGTAGCCCCAGGTCCCCAGGTCGGGCTCCCTGCTCAGTGGGGAGTCTGCTTCTCTCTCTGCCTCTTTCCCTGCTCAAGCTCTCTATCTCTCTTTCAAATAAATAAATAAAATCTTTAAAAAAAAAAAAGCTCTCAGGGCCCCTTTAAGTATGACAATGTTTAAAACTAAATTCAGCCACTGGCAGCTTCAGATCAGCTCTGTTCACTGAGATGTAATTTCCAGGAGTGAGTGTCAAAGAAAAGTGACCCTAAGATGTTTGTCTGCCTAAGCTGGAGTGATAACCTTCAGTAAAAACTCTGGCACCTTCAGTCTATCTCCTCTGACCTGCCCGTGAGAGAGCAAGGCTTGAAGACCAAGATTTCAGGTTAGGCCACAGGATACCAACAGCTTGGAGCTGCCTTAAAGGAAGTTCCTCTGTATTTTTTTAATACAAGAGTCTAACCCATTGTATCATCCAAACAATACTGTTCATAAAACATTATTAATGGATCCTAACTCAACAGAATTTGGATATAAGAGAGAGTAAGTGCAAAAGAATAATGGACATATGCTTTATGTGGCAAACTTGCATAATAAATTCAGCAACTGACCTTAAAAATTATATATTCATCTCAGGTTACTGAGTATCAACAGATATTACTAGTATTCTTATAGTCTTGCCCTTTCCAGAAAAGTGAAACTTGAAGAGAGAGAAGAGAAATCCCCAGCTATGATGACAAAACAATCTGATCTTTCCCCGGCCCCTCCTCTGAACACGTCCGTTTTCCACAAGACAGCTACATCAAAAATGAAAGACGTAGTAAGGCCTGGACATGAGGCATGACACTGTGGCATGCGGGGACACTTTCAGTTCTTTCAACCTTCATTCAAAAGACAGATATCTATGAAAACTCTACCTCTGTGATACAAACAGAAACCCATCCCTACCTGCATTTGTCCCAAGTAGCTATCTCTTAAATGGCCCAAATTAAAAAGCCCAGAGATCTCTTTTTAGTCAGGCTGCCTGCAAGAATAATAAAAGTACTGCCAAAATATGCATAACAGAGACAGGAAGGAAACAGGTCAAAATGCTTATAATTGTGAGGGAAGGGTGATTAAAAAAAAAAGTCTTCTCTGTTTACAGTAAATGCAGAAAACAGATCTATAATATATGGTCTATAATATGTCTATATTATTTTAAGTGAGGAAGGGAGGTATGAGGTTTGCTTCTTTTAAGGATCTTTTTTCCAGTCATAGAATCTTAGCTCACAAAAGACTTTAGCCTAATGCAGTCCTTCCACAAATAAGGAGTCAAGTTTCAGACTGGGAAGGGATTCTCCCAGTTGAGTGAAGACGAGAAAGAACGGCTCCATAGACTGGCTCCACGATGATGGGAAGCAAGTTTTCCTTTAAAAGTTCGACCTCCTCGACCCCACTCATCTGCCAATCTAACCTCCCATCTCCACTTGAAAGTGCAGAATCAACCAGAAATTTTTGACTGACGTTTGTTTGTGTTAAGCAAATAACTGTTTACACTGAGATAATCACAGGTGAAATTTGTGTCGGAAACTGTGAGACTTCTTGTTTTTCTCATGCTAGGCAAAGACAAAAAATAAATAAATAATAAATAAATAAATAAATAAATAAAAGGAAGGGTATTGACAGTCGGGGGCACTTTGGATATTCCTGCACCAAGAAGATGCTTTTTTTTAAAGTGTTAACTTTTAAAGGCAAAGAGCCCTTTTATAATGGTCTTAATTAAGCTCCATAACCTTGAAAGTAGGTGGACTGGGGCAGGGGTCTGAGATTCTAACATACACACTGATTAGTGTCTGTCTCTAGGTTCTAGTCCACGTGTCCATTCAAGTCATTTACCACCACTCTTCGTCTACGCTGCAAGGAGATAGGTATCGTTTCTGCTTCCTAATTTCAAGACACCAGGCTTCGTACATCAATGACTCCAACACGGCTATGTACCGCGGCTATGGGCACGCCTCTGGAGACACCGCGAGAATTTCTACATTTGGCAACCGGCTTTTGATGCTGCATTTGACCCTCCTGCAAGCGCTCCGCGCAGGGGCCACCATCACGCCGAGGTAGCAGGACCGTCCGGCTCCGATGCTTCCAGGCGCGGTCCGAGAGCGCCTCAAAAACCCCACCACGGGGACAGGAGGGACGCCCGTGGCCGAGAGACCACCGGCCCCAGCCCCGCGGGATCATCCCTCGCATCTGAAGGTCGGGGTCCGGCTTCTGGGCCGGGCCGGTCCCCGCCGCCACACAAACAGGAGGCCGGTCCCGCGGCGCGCGTCACCCGGACCCCGCCGTGCACCAGCCCCGCGCCCGCGCAGCCCGCGGGAAACGGCGGCGGGGCATCCCCGCCTCAGGCACAGGAAGCGGCGGCGGCTCGGGCGGCCCGAAGGCCTCCGCTGCCGCGGGAAGGGGAGCCGAGGGCAGAGGCCGGAAAAGCAGAACGTCCCCGGGAGCCGAGGGGAGGTTCACGCTTCTCCGCTGCGGCCGCCGCCTCCCGGGCTTGGGCCGGCGGGGCAGCCTGAGCCCCCGCGCCTCCGCGGAGACCACCGGCGCCGCAGCCGGAAAGGACGCGGCTCCCCGCGGCAAGAGCACTCACCTCGGCTGGCCGGGCCGCTGCGCCGCCGGCTGTCACCGCAGCCCACTGCCTGTCCAGTCCCGGCTCCGGATGCTATTTAAGGGCGCTGCCGTAGCCACTGCGCCCTGGCTGCGGCCCAGCCTCTGCGGCCGCCGAGCCAAGCTGTTGCCGGTGCGCCAGCCACGCCCGCCCCGCAGGCCCCGCCCCGTCCGCAGGCCCCGCCTCCGACAGCAAGCCCCGCCCCCGACGCGCGCCCGCCTCCCGTCTGGAGAAGCGCGAGCTGGGCTGCCTGCTGGCGGGTGCAGGGAGGCGGCGAGCAAACTCAGCAAGAGTCGCTTCGCGTGTCCTCGCTTTCATAGCGAATCTGTGGAAGGGCAAAGGGTATATTGTAGGGCCTCAACCTAGAAGCCCGGCCGGCCGTGGGGTCCCGTTGCCACGGGGACCGGAAGACGCCCTTTTGCGTCTTCCACTCCCAGTTGCCTGCCTTGCTGACTGACTTCTTGGCGGACGGTGGGGGGTGGGGGTGGTGGGGGTGGCATTACAGCAGAATGCAGACCCAACGTTACTCAAGGGCAATAGCCACCTGCCAAGTTCTTAGGGCCTGTGTATCTTACTTAGCCCTGGCTGTGGTTCTGAGGGGTTCTGCATCCGTGCGATGCCCATTTGGGATGAACTTTTTCAGGTCCTATCCCAAATGTTATTTTTCCTCCTAGCACCTGAGGCCTGCCAGTGTCCTTAATCTCTAATAATGGTTCGGGTTACGGTGGTACTTGCGCCCAGTATTGGGAGGAGGGCTACTATCTAGTACTTCTTTGAATATGAAGAATGAGAAGCATTATTGTGATGATAAACCCCTCTGATAACAACAGCTACAGCTTATTGAAACAGTTCACACACATTGTCTTCTAGAATCTTCATCATAACCCCATGAGGTGGATGCTGACGTGATTCCCCTTTTACAGATGAGGGAGAAACTGAGGCACAGAGGTTGAATGCTAGTGCGGGGAAAACCACACTTGGAACTCACGCAGTCGGCTCCCAGAGCATGCACATAATAACCACCGGACTACATTTTGTCCTTACGTTTTTGTGAGCCTGTGCTCACTGGAGGCCACAAGCATATCAAGTTGACTCGAGCCAGTAATATCCTAAGGACTTTTGTCCCAAAGTGTGCCGGGCACCATAGGACAGTGATGGTGAGAGCAGCCCACGCTCCAGTGGTCTCTGTAGCGGCTCAGTGCTCTAAGACCCCCTTCTACACATAGACTGTCTGCCTAAGATTAAAAATGGACTCCACTTTCCTTTCCGTTGGTTTCCACTTGGATAATCCTTGGTTTCTCTGCTCAGGTCTCTTCCTCCTCACCCGTGATTTCATCATTTTAGCCTGTTCTTTTTTCTCTTGCTTCTCCAGCCAGTCCTTCAGCCCCTCCTTAGGCCCTTCAAAGTTGTCTGCTGTAGTGGTTTGTCAGGGCTGCCATTCTGAAAGGATCACAAAGCAGGTAGCTTAGACAATAGAAATGTATTGTCTCATAGTCCTAGAGGTTGGAATTTCAAAATCAAGGTGTGGGCAGGGTTGGTTCCTTCTGAGGGCAGCGAGGGAAGAATCTGCTTCAGGCATTTCTCTTTGGCTTGGAGAAAACGGTCTTTTCCCTATGTCTCCTCACCTGGTTTTCTCACTGTATGTGTCTGTCTCCACATTTCTTCTTCTTATGAGGGCACCAGTCCTAGTGGATTAGGGTCCACCATAGGGGGATTAACTTGATGCCTTCTGTGAAAACTCTATCAACAAATAAGGTCACATTTGGAGGTACTGGGGGTTAAGACTTCAACAAATAAATTTGGGGAGAGGATGGGATGCAATTCAACCCACAACATGTGATAGCTGTCACTGACTGTCTTCCCTAACCCTTCCCCCTCCAAGACACTTTTCTCCTCATTGGTATGCTCTTCCTTGGTTTCTAGCCCTAATGCAGGTAACTGACCACCTGAGAGTGGGAAAAGCACACAACCAGGGATTACATCTCAATTCTTACTCTCTCTGATAAAGCTGTTGTGTGACTTAGGGCGGCAAGTTCAGGTTTCTCCTCTGGAAATAAAGGGACTAGACGAAATAATTTCTCAGGTCCCTTTCAGTGCTAACACTTAAAAAAAAAAAAAAAAACTTATCTCCCTAATCATTTCAGAAAGTTTCACAATGTATGGGGTTGTCCCATAACCATGAAATAAGGACTTTGAAGGTAGGCAGTATTGCACAGTGGTTAAAAACTTAGGCTTCAGAGTTGGGCATTAAGCCCCATCTCATCCTCTATAAGACAAGAATAATGGTACCCACCTTAGAAGGGTGTCAGCCCATGGCCTCAGTTTTCTCATTAAATGAAGGTTCCAGACTCCATGGTTGGGGGTTCCATTTTGTGACTCGGGAAGACATAGGAACACAGTCTTAAGTCTCTTTTCCACATTCTTTTTTCCCCAAACGTTTCTGTAGCCACCAGAACAAAAGCCAACTGGATGTTGTGGTGGAATAAATCTAATGGAAGTTTGAGTCTCTGATCAGTTGTTCTCAGCCCCATTCTGGCTTGATTTAAATGTTGTGGCTAATTCTGGCTAGATCCAAATCTATCGAACACTGATTGAACCATCTTCTAGAGAAGCTAAAGAGAGTCAAGGTCCTTTTTGGGACAAGCTGAGGGACAGGTTGACCATGATCTTGTCTCAAAAGCTCCCACTTGTGATCGCCAACTGTAGAGTTGTGACTATTATAGATCTTCTGTATCTACTGCTTTTGAGCATGGTCATCTGCAGGATAGCCACATCAATTAATAGTGGCCAATGCGCTTTTAATTCCAGGATAGTTAAAGAAAGAGTTGGCATCAGTGGCTGGGTGCTCCTCACTCAGTCTGTTTTGAGGCTGCATCTATGTTAGGCATATATCCATCTCCCCCATGAAACTGTTAATGCCTAGAGAGCAGGCACAGTGTGCCATGAATCTCAGATTTGCTGGGCTTCCAGCAATAGGGAAAAAGGATGTTTCCACCAAACTGACACCGATCTGTAACTATTGGTGATTATCACATGGTCTCCAGTGGCCCTCATTGAAGCCATAGTCCTCCCTTCTCCCATACCCCTTTTATTGTTAATGTGCACTTGATCCTCTGATTTCATTAACTTTATGAGGGCAAGTTAGTCTACAGCTCTCTAGGCAGTAACTTTCACGGGTGTACCCTCTTCCCACTGGGAGGCTCCCAGAGGTTCTCCGCGGCTCCTGTCCAGCTGGATGGAAAAACTTGCAGGTTAAGAACAAAGGCTTGGAGTCAGACTGCTTGGATTCAAGTTCCACAACTCACCGGTTCCTGACCTTGGGCAAGAAACCCTCTAATCCCTAGCTTTCTTTCTTTCCTTTTTTTTAAGCTTTTTATTTATTTATTTGAAAGAGAGAGAGAGTGACAGAGAAAGCATGAGCAGGGGGAGGGGCCAAGGGAAGAGGGAGAAGCAGACTCCCCACAGAGCAGGGAGCCTGACACTGGGCTCCACATGGGGCTCTATCGCAGGACCCCAAAAATCATGATCTGAGCTGAAGGCAGACGCTTAATCGACTGAGCCACCCAGGCGCCCCTAATCCTTAGCTTTCTTATCTGCCAAGTGAGTATAATATCGTATGGCATCCAATCTAAGTCACAATCCTTTGTAAGATGAACCATTATTTTATATATCTCTGAGAAAGAAAAAAAAAATGCTCCAGATTATAATTACAACATCACAGTTGAGAGATGCCCCCTATGTTGCTTAGCTTTTACTGCATAGCAAATCACCTTAAAACTTAGCGGCTTAATGTCTGCCTTCGGCTCAGGTCATGATCTCAGGGTCCTGGAATCGAGCCCTGGCATCTGGTTCCCTGCTCAGCGGGGAGCCTGCTTCTCCCTCTCCCTCTGCCCCCTCCCCCGCTTGTGCTCTCTTGCTCTCTCTCTATCAAATAAATAAATAAAATCTTTAAAAAGAAAAGAAAAGAAAAGAAAATCCTGTATCTGATTCCTGAATAAACACTGGGATAGATACGGATAGATATGTAGGTGATGATGATGATAGATAGACAGGGAGATAGATGGATAGATAGAGATGGACAGAGAGATAGATATGCTTGGAGTATAGTGGGACTTTTGGGGACCAAGTGTCACCCTCGAGCCAAAAAAGGATGATTATGTTTAAAAAAAAAAAGCGGGAGGGGGTGGTGAGTTGCTCTGTGAGATAACTTAGTACCGTGCTTGGCCCCCCGTGAATGCTCTATAAATACTATTACTTTTGCTTCTCTTTGGAAAGTCTTTGTGGCTTACGCTTCTTTCTACCTGCAACCCTGTAAAGTCTTATTTATCATCCAAAACCTAACTCAGGCATCCCTTTCTCCACACACACACACACACACACACACACACACACACACACACACACACACACTGTTGTCCCCAGAGCGGTGCTAGCCTGCTCTGGTCGCCTGTTGTAACTAACAGGTTTATCACTTCTGTGCTTCTAGACCCATGGGCCCAGCTTTGAGCTCCCTGCTGGTGGATATTCTGTGTCTAGCCACCTCCTACCCTCATGCCAATCCAATGCCTGACACTCGATACACGTTTATTCAACTGAACTGCTATGTCCCCTCCAATAGACCTGCTTCTCATTCCCCTAGATATAATTGTTCTTTCCTCTGGAGGTGCTCCCACAGCTCTTTGTAATGTTTCTATCATAGGACTTGTCACATTCAGGTGTGATTACTTGTTTGTGTAACACTCACATGGATAGAATGTGGCTCATTCTCCTTTATATCACACAGAGACACCCCCCCTTTTCCCTGCACTATGCCTGATAGGTAACACTCTATAGATTCCTGTAAATGAATAAAAACAGTGTTTCAAATCCCTGTTCTAGTTATACTCAGGATGGCCTGTGGCCTAGAAGTCTGGAGGAAAATTAGATTTAGTTATGTAATTCATCAATAGTTATTTCTAGTTCTTTCCTAGAACCTGAGCTCCCTGGCTTCCCTCTCCTCTTAGGTCACAGTGCTGCTCCCTCACCACATGCTTGAGACAGTGATCAGTGGAGGCCCATTCCACCATCCCTGGGGCCTCTCTGACCCTCCCACACCCACACA